TACAACGACATCTATACCTCAGTTGATTGTCGTGTTAGAATTTAAGATGCCATCTTCCCAAGGTTTCAGTCTCGTATTACAGATTTCCTCTGAAAACTAGAAACTACAACTATCTATTCATTAATTTAAGAAGAAAAAATCGTCAAAAATCCCGCTTTTGAATTTTTTTTTCCATCCTAAAAGTGTACTCATTATTTTATTTCTAAAAAGACTACTCGTTATTTTGAAATCTAAATAAAGATGGCACTTCTTATATAAAATATAGTTCAGTACAAAGTATCTGCATTGCAGTTTATTGAACTTTCTGAGAAATCGATTCTTGTATAATTTCATGATGCCAGCTCCCCAGGAGTTCAGTTACGTATTATCTAAAGTTTTATATTTAGATTCATATGAATTTATTTCGAATCCATAAATAAAATCTATTCATAAATCAAAGAAGGGTATGTCCCTAAGGCTCCGTTTAAGGGATACCTAAATTCTGGTGAAAAACAATCTTCCCAAGTAACTTTTTTTTTGGAAATATTCCCTTTATTACAGCAAAAAATCAACAAAATCCCGGTAATATATTTTGGTAATAATTACAAAAATTTTTGGGAATAATTGTTGGACATTAAGAACACATCCTGTTTTGCCTTGGCCTCCTAGCTAGTGTCTTGATTACTTTTCCCCTCAAATAACCCAAAAGGGGACAAACTTAACGCAATTACAGCGAAACTAGCATTAAAATAAGCAGAATTACTTTGAAACCCCACACCTTGAAAGGCGAACGAACCCACAACGGAAATACATTTCTATGTTTGTGAAATTAGGGGGAAATCGAAATCAATTCTGGATAAGTGTGGAGTGGAATTCTAGGTAGATGTGAGAGTACTTGTGTTTGCCTAGTAATGATTCAATTGCAGTTCTAAGGACCAACAAAACTTCGTTCGGAGCAAACGGAATAAATACTTATGGCCATTACACAAGACCATAATTTTAATGAGCTTTTTTTTGCTGTCTCCAGGACGACGAGGAGTGGCTGCCTCCTTTGTGATTATTGTTATGACAAACACGTAGCTACGCTAAAGCCAACCAACACATGTTACCAATGACTGGCTGGCTACAACCAAAAAGCCAAACTGGAGATGGGGAAAAAATGAAAACATCTGTTTTCCCATTGGCCATGCATCTGCCCCTCAAAACAAAAAAAGAAGAAGGAAGAAATTCACAAGAAAAACACACATACATACGTACGTACACACACACCCATCCTCATATCAATGGTAATTTGATATTTGGGAGTCTGTGGCAGCCAGGACGACGATGTCGTGATGATGATGATGATGTGGATGACGATGTCCGAAAATAGCAAAGCAGGCAAGCAACAATTGCCAGTTGATGGTGGCTTTGCGTTGCCTTGCCTTGGCTTGCCATGATAGTGGCCATAAATCCATGAACCTAAACATTTTCATAAAACGTGCTTTCACTTGCTTCCAAGGCGCCTGCGGCATTAATGTGCAGCAACAGAGTGCAAATTGGGAGGGGTGTGGGTGGAGGGGGGTGTATTATAAAAGAATAGTGGCACATGTTAAGGCATTTGTTTTTTTTGTTGCTGCTGCAAACCAGGTATAAGGTTGAAGTTTTAATGCAATCACTTTAAACTGTTGAATTTTTAATCTGAGAAATTTTTATTGTTGTTGTTTATAGTGCAGTGATGATGAAGATGTCAGAGTTGCCGTTTTAGTTTAATACTTTATGCAAAACAAAAAAATTAACCTAGAACAATGATATAAAAAAAGATCAGATGTCAAATGTTAGAAGGTGACATTTTCAACTTCTTCCCTCAGCATTTTCAAAGCATACTTTTAGACGCTCTCACGAGTTTCTAAACTCAAAGTTCACGATTCTGCTTCTAAAGGCTAGAGCATATTTCATGTTAGATCCATATATAAATCGACTTTTTATATTCATATTTATTTATTCATTTTAAGCATACTTTTAGGCGCTTACACATTTTTCAACCTAAAAATACCCAATTTGGAGTATATTTGTGCTATATCTCCACACCGTATCTCATCGGATATTTTTAAAGATAGGTCGATGGGTACAAATATACAGGGAGAGACATATAGATGGATGGATAGATACCTACTAAGAACTACAAATTTCGGTTAATTATATTCAAAAATTTGGCGGGAATATTCAAAGTGCCTACAAGGGAAAGGTGGACAATCTGGCCCATTTATCTCTCCTAACCTAGACTATAGTTCAGTTGAATTTTCATTCCTGAAAAAAGAGCGTGGAAGCCGGACAAATCATTGGTAATGCTCTTTTTTTGTGAGAGATGGAGATCAGATATTCACACAAATTTAGCGCCATCTGTATTATATTTATTTCCACCTCAATCTTCGCCCTGTCCCTGAAAATGACAGGGTCTACAGGTAATGATTTGCCCGGCTTCCACGCTCTATTTTTCAGTTTTTTTGTGAAGAGATGGAGATCAGATATTCACACAAACTTAGCGCCATCTGTATTATATTTATTGTAAGTGTAATGGTCACGGTCTATACAGCTACTACTCTTGAGGCGCCCAAGTGTTATCAATCAAATCCAGGGATGTTAAGAAATACAGACCTTTTTTAAAAAGTGTTGGCAAGTTTGCAAAGTTCTGTTGAGTTTTACTGAGAGGAAAATCTCTTTATCATTTTCAATAGGAAAATCTCTTTATCTTCAAAGGTCTTTCGGTATTTAAAATAAAAACCCATTATCTTTCAAAGAGAAGACGTATTTGTCTTCGAAAAGAAGATCTATTGGTCTTCAAGGAGAAAATCTTCCCTTACGGAAGCCCAAAAGGTTGTCGTATAGAAGACCTAAAGTTCTACAGATCTTCTGTTGAATGACCAAGTGCTTTTCACTCAGAAGACCATAAGATCTTTCCATAGAAAGTCAGGAGATTATCTCATAAAAGACCTCCAGGTCTTCTATTAGATTAAGTCTTCGTTAACTGTAAGGAACACTCTTAGTCCCCAATGAGAAGTCAATTATGCCTTCAAAACGCTTGAATTCCCTGTTATTTTCACGGACAGCGCGAAGATGGAGAGATGTGAAGAGAAGCATATTCATACAGACTTAGCGCCATCTGTAGTGCATTTTGTGTACATGAGTGAGGCGCCCAAGTGTTTTTCAATAAAATCTAGGGATGTTAAGAAATACAGACCTGTCTTGAAAACTAATTGCAAGGTCGTTAATTTCTGTTGAGTTTTACTGATAGGACTTCTTCGTTTTCAATATGAGAATCTCTTTAACTTCAAAGAGAAGGCCTTTTGGTCTTTAAAGGGAAGACCTATTGGCATTCAAAGAGAAAATCTGTTTGTCTTTAAAGAGACGATCTATTGGTCTTCAAGGAGAAAACCTTTTCTTGTGGAAGCCCAAAAAGTTGTCGTATAGAAGACCTAAAGTTCTACAGATCTTCTGTTGAATGACCAAGTGCTTTTCACTCGGATGACCATAAGATTTTTCAATAGAAAATCAAGAGATCATCTCATAAAAGTCCTCCGGGTCTTCTATTAAATGAAGTCTTCGTCAAATGAAAGAAACACTCTTAGTCCTCAATGAGAAGTCAATTGGGCTTTCAAAATCCTTGAAGGACCTGTCATTTTCACGGACAGCGCGAAGATTGAGGAGGAAACAGATTTTAGTGAAGAGAAGGATATTCGTGTGAAGAGAGTCATATTCATACAAACTTAGCGCCATCTGTAGTGTATTTAGTGTACGTGAGTGAGGCGCCCAAGTGTTTTTCAATCAAATCCAGGGATGTTAAGAAATGAAGACCTGTCTTGAAAACTATTGACAAGGTCGATAAGTTATGTTTTGATAGGACTTCTTCGTTTTCAATAGGTGAATCTCTTTATCTTCAAAAGAGAAGGCCTTTTGGCCTTTAAAGGGAAGACCTATTGGCATTCAAAGAGAAAATCTGTTTGTCTTTAAACAGACGATCTATTGGCCGTCAAAGAAAAATCTATAGGTTATCCTATTAAAGATCTTAAACCTAAAGTTCCTCTCCTAAATGGTCTCAAAGACAATAAAATATTTCCATAGAAAGAGATTATCTCATAAAAAACCTCCGGATCTTCTATTAATGGAACTTATCGTCTTCTATTAGAAGGCCTGTTAATCTTCTATTAGATGAAGTCTTCGTCATTTGTAAGAAATACTCTTAGACATCAATTAGAAGTCATCTTGGACTTCAGGGGAAAGACTTCTGGAAATTTTATTAGATAAAATATTAATCTTTTCTGAAATATGTTAGAAAATATTAAGCATCTCGTGACCCCCCTCCAACTTTCAATAACGGGACAGAGGATGTTCGTCGCTTTTAAGATATATTATATTTCCCACTTCAACTGCTCAGATCCTACAGCTCTTGTAAGCATCTCAAAAGACCTTAAATGGCTAGGAAATAATTATATTTTATCGTAGTCAAAGGCCTGTTCCAGAATTTTGATTTTCTCTGCAAAATAATTTTCAAACCCTTAATAAAATTGTTCAAAATTCAAATATAAATCAAATTTGCGTTTTTTTTTACTAAAAACCCAAAGCAGCAACCCTGACTAAAACTCTTATACTGCTGTATATGCTCTCTCATTGTACCCATTGGGTTTCCTATAATTTTTTAATTTCCTCTCCCTCTCTCTATTTGTTTCTCTCATTTCTCTTGGTTTTTATAACTAACCTTCCTTAAGTCAAACACAATCCTGCTGCTGCTTGTTGTGATGTTGTTAGGTTTTCCCTTTTAACGAACTGAACAGTAGAAAAAAGCTTTTTTGTGCTCGTTTGTGACACCAGACCCGGAGCAACAATCGTTGAGGCAGACGACGGAGCTTAATCATGGTTTGCCTTGTTTTTTTTGTTGCTTTTGCTGCCGAAGAGAACTTTGTTGGGGACTCTAGTCAGGAAAGACTTCGGTCAGTGACAACAGTTTGTTGCTTATGTTCCTGTCTTGTAGACGTGTTGTTCGAACGTGGATACATCGCTAGAGTCTTGGTCTAAAAACCGAACCAAACCAACTAACCACGGTTACCAATAAAAAAAAGAAATGAAACAAACAAACTAATGGTCAAATGAAAATCTCCAGCCCAGTGACATACAAAAATTCAGGCCTTCTATTTTGAATTTATTTTCTTTGGTTTCGATTTTCTTTCTGGTTGAATGGCGGCACTTAAGAAGTGAGAAAGCACATCAAATTAAAGCCAAAACTACAGGAAACAAAAACAAAAAACGGAATTCAAAAAAAGAGGAGAAATATGAAAAACCAAGTGCTAAAAATGGGCTTCATGCCGCATTTGATGCGTTTGAGAAAAAAGTGCTGAAAACTAAAATGTCGTAAAGAAGTTCTGGCATTTAATAGTGCGTGTGGAGCAGAGTGGAGAGTGCTGCTTCTTAGTTTGTGAAATGCGAGCGGGGAAAATATAATAAAAAACGGCATATAAATCGTAATACATATATAAATGTACCACAACAAAGAACATATCAACACATACTATATGTCAGAATATATGTAGCTGTGTGTGTTTGTAGAAACGAGAATAAAACCAAAGGAAACCCTGAGTATGTGTGCAACAGTGAGTGTGCGTGCGTGCGTGCGTGTGCCTGCACAACTGATTGTAGTGTAATTATTATTTGAATGCGTAAGTGAGTATAACGGCCATTGAATTACGGTGTGGTGTTTATTATTGTTGTTGCTGGGTCTCTTTATTGTATTCTAATTCTAATGGTATTTGTGATTACCCCTATGTGTGTGTGTGCCAGCATGAGTGTTAATCCAATAAATTGAATTGTTGAAAGCAGTTCTGCTAAAACTCAATAGAGTTGTTTGGCTAAATAATACTAACAACAAAAACCACAAAAACAACAACTACAACAGCAGCAGTAATAACAAAAAGTGCCAACAAGAAAATAAAACGTGAATTACAATAATCAAATATAAGTACAACAATAACAAACAAACAACAAATTACAGCTAATCATTCATCGAACATCACAATCGAAAAAAAAACAACACGATAAATAAATAAAAAGAACCCCATCAACAAAATATGTAAAAAGGCATAAAAATGAGTCAATAAATATTGACAAGTCTCATCCCAGAAAGGCGCAACTCGTCAATTTGGAATAAATGCCTTGAAAATAACAGTTAAACAAATCTAATAAAAAATATCAATTAATTAGCCACGGCACAAACAGGTGTACTCGCTTCGATGGTAAACTAATGAACTCCGTTGTTGTTGGCAACAACAAAAAAACGGCAACAACAATCAATTCAACTGAATTTGAGTGACAAATTATATGGATTTTCCAAAACAAAGGAAAAAAAAAACAACACTAGTAGCGAGAAATTTGAAATAATTAATCAAATTCGAATTTCAAATCATTAACCAACTTCCTTCTTCGAAATGAATTGGAATTTATAATATAAGATAAAGTTGTAAATTGAGGATACTTGGAAAGTGATTGGAAATTCAATTATATGTTCGAATTTGATAAACAATTGAGTTTTTTATAAAATATTAATCTATTTTGGAAAATAATTTTTATCGAATTTTCCATATACCGACAGTTTATGCGGCGAAACACCATATATTTTTTATACTCTTCACTCTGTTATGAACCTTTCCTATTCCGTTTGTAACTCATCAAAATATTAATTTAAGATCCCTGTAGGGTGTATATATTAGTTTAAATTGCAGAGATCTACTTATTTATATTAGGTCTGCTATTTTTTCGGGACTGAATAGTTCCACGCTTTTATATAGATGGTACCCATCAATATTAGGTACTGCGAAGGCTTTGAGCACATTTTGCAACCGAATTAACAGTTATATGATATTGGGGTTACTCATAGAATATGCCAATTGAACTGAAGGGAAAATTTTCTTAACCATTAATTGGAAATTTTCACTAATTATAAATATACCTACTTTTCCATTACTTTTACAGAGACATGCCAACCTATTGATTGCAATTAAGTGGGTTACTCACTTCATACATCTCCTAAATTCTGAGATTTGAAGGTTTGAGCCTGTCCTTCACCCAAATTGAGTACATATATTCAAACGCTTTCATTCTCTCGTAGAGGAGATTTTCAGTTTTTAAATTTTGTAGCATACGCGCTCCCACTTGTTTAAATTTCGAATTCCTTAAATCGATTTGTATCATTTTAAGTGCCTTAACGTAGAAATTGACAAAATCTTGCATCCAACCTAAAGTTAGGAAATTAAATGTGAAATATGATACAAATTCAAGTGGTTTTGGACAAACAAGAGACTCTATTAAAACAAAGAACTGCTCATTTAGCCGACCATTGATCCTTTTAAAGTAACTCCTGGGATTTTAAAAGAATACTTTTTAATCTATTTTAAAAAGACATTTTTTTTTGATTTCTTAACGTGAAAATGTCCTTTATAAAGACATTTGCAGTCCTAGGTTTCTCAAACTAAACTCTTTTGGTCCCCTTTACGGAAGGGTCTCTTGATCTCCACCAAGAAAACATTTTGGTCTTCAGCAAGGGATCGTTTTGCTCATGTTTCTATAAGGCATCTTTCTGATCACCCATAAAGAGAATTTTTGGTATTACCTCTTATATTAGTATATATTCCGACCTTTTTGGTATATTTTAAAAGAGATCCCTTTAATGCCCGTTAAGAAGACATTTTCCCCCTCTATCAGAAGAAGTTTGGCTTTTGAAAAAAGTAGTTTGGTCTATAACTTTTCGCAATAAATAAGAGGACATTTTGAACTTCTCCAAGGAGATTTTCTGGTCATTTAGTGTTAGATTTTACGGAAAGAAAATATTAATTCTCTACAAGAAAACCTCTGATATTCTTTGAAGAGACATTCTGATCCTTTACAAGAATGTTGTTTTGCCGAACTCTTGTAAGAAGACTTTTTTTCCTTTATTGATAAATTGTAATCTGTAGAAAAAGTTGGTGACGTATTGGAATATATTCTGATTTTCTACATTTTTTAAAGGAAGGCCTCCAAATCTTCTTTGCGAAAAGTTTCTGGATTTAATAGAAAGACTTTCTTGAGTTTTTCAATAAAACTTCCTTGCATTATGTATGGAGAATTTTTGGTCTTCTTTCTAAGACCTTTGATTGTAAGGCAATCTAACCTTCTAAAATAGCATTCTGACCTTCTGACCTGAAAGATTAAACCAAATAAGAGATTACAATTATAACGTCGAAGGCCACATATATTTCAATATCAATAAAGAAATATATAAAAAAAACTCTCATTATAATGGTTTCTCAATAGCATATTGGTCAAAAATGATGCAACTTCTTACTTATTCATATTTCTAGCCATAATTATCAGCGAAAGGTTCTTTCTTATGATATGATGGTATTAATTGGTCAATGGCGAAAATCTTTTAATACAGCTTCAATCTCAAAAACCTATAATAGAACGGTTTTAGAGGTCGCTTTTTATCCCTATCTCGAAAAAATGTCAAATACTAATGAAGGTGCTGGTATATCGCCCATTTAATGATTGGCATTTAGAACTTAAAACCAACAAAAAATAGTATTTGATGTGTTTTCCTATTTAAAACTGTTAAAATTGTCAAAAATATGTTTGCTTAATACCCCAAACATTCCCCCATTGTCATAACCACATATTACTCTCTATTGAAGAGAACAACAATTTCCAAAATAAAACTGACTGCTTTGCAGTATTTGCTGAACGCAAACAATATTAAGATTTAAAAAAAAATTGTTAAAAATATATCAACATTTTTCTTTAACCCTTTTTAAAGAATTCACAAAGAATCTCCTTATTCTCCACCCCATTATGCTGTCGTGTTGCTGTTCATCACTCTGATGATGGACATGTTGGCGTATACGTGTTAAATGAATCTTTCAACGGCGTGTTGTGTATACGCACTGTTGGCCAACTTCCATTGAATATTATATGAAGCAAAACAGAAGCGAGGGTTGTGGTTTCGATTCGAATATGAGTTCGAAATATGTTTGAAATTGTTTTTCTCCTTATAGACAGTTTGAAGACGCAAAAACATAAATATTGGGTTCATTGAATGGAATCATCCCTTTTCCTTAATTTGTTCAATGAATATATATATATTTTTTAATATTGATATATTTTATTAAGTATTGAATTTATACAAAGTATCATAAAAAAATTATAAATATATAAAAATTCTCAATAAATATTGTCTGTCACAGTGATTGACAAATTTATTGTTTGTTTTGAAATCCTAAACATTTAGAAGGCATCAAAGAGTGATGCTGTATTTATGGAATTATATATCAATATTGTGCAAAAAGCAATATCATTCATGTCAATTAGCATTTTGACAAGAAATACAAAGAAGGACATTGATTGCATAGGATTCGGGTTTTATTTTTCTTTAAAAGAAAATACAAAATGTGTGTTTTTGTTTTTCCCCTTTGACCTTTCGCATCCGAAGAAACACATGCAGAGGCTTGTTATTTTCTTTCAAATTAAATTGCAAATCATGAAAGGGTTTTTTTATTTTTAGTTTTATTTATTTTTTGTCGTAAATAGAATTTTCGAACATTTTAAGCATGATTTCGCATGAATTCTTCTTTTCATAGATATTTTTCTTTAAATAATTGATGAGTCTTTTGGGTTGTTGGAGAAATCGGACATTAACATTGAAATAAATGATGAGATTATGGGGTAAGTTAGGATGTCCCTTGAAAGTTATTGTTAGGCCGTATGTGGGCAGACTTATTGTGTGGGAGTTCTAAGCTATTGTTAAAAAGGCATATAACAGTATGTAGCCTAAAATAATATTGGAAAATGTTGTAAAATCGTCTCGAAGTTTGTCATACTGCACCAATTCTACTAAACTCCCACACACATGTAAAAAAAACCTGACAGTCAACATTCAAAATACGTTTTCCATATAATTTGTTTACATTGCCTTTGAGACAACCGACTGAAATAATTTTTAAATATTATTTTTTCCAAATACTTCGCATATAGTTTTCTTAAAAGATATTCCCAATTTTCTCTTCACAAAAATATTTTTTTTTCAGCTTTTATTGCAAAAGGTAATTTCCAAAAAAAGTCCAGAAATAAATTGTCCTTGTGGCTTCATAATTCCCATAATTAAACCCAACTCAGTTACCCCCAGGCAGATCTGAGCCAAAAACAGAACTAACTCAAATACAAAAATCTTTATTTAAATGAAAGCCATGCGAATTTCCATTTAATAATGGAAAGAAATTCACATGAATCTGTTTTGTGTGTTGATTGATTTTCCCCGAGGCCCATGCCAAGAAGGCAAGCATGAAATTGCTTCTGAGAGCTTTTAATGCAGGTGAATGGAAATGACGCCAGAAGCTGGCAACATTTTTGTGAGTTTTAAGGTACAATTTTGGCCACAAAATGAAAATGACTGCATTCTTGTTGTTGCTGCTGTTGTTATTTAAAGTTCTATTTCATTTTTTATTTGCTTCCAGCAAATTACCCCATTTCGTTCGCTGTACTCCACTGGGACATTTAAAAGGTTACATCTGCATAATGCTCGCAAAAAAACACACAACACGTCTCAGGAGATCACATCACATGTCATTTAAGTCGTCGTTTTCCTTTTTCACTTCGTTTTGTTTCCACTTCTTTTTGTCTCTGGCTGTCGCTTTGA